CGTCAGGTCTAGCATAGGTGTATCAAACACAATGTCGAAATCTTCGACAGTGTTGATATCTTCTGCTGCAGACATGACGGGAATGAATAATGACGTTCCTGACGGTCTTATTTATGGGATCGGCTGGCAGAGCAAAATATTGCTACTATGTAATGGAATAGTCGAGATCCTATTGGTCAATAAAAAGGCATCAATATTCCATAACGATAATAAAAGTGGCTCGGATTGTGCTAGTTGAAAGTTGGTAAAACAACGAAAAAAGGAAAAAGATGCGTTAAAAATAAGAAAGGAGTAAACAACATAAATCCGAGATGTATAGTGAAGAAAGTACATAGTTAAAAAAGCGGAAAAGAACAACAAAGTAGAGGTTAATAAAAGAGAAAGTGCGAGAAAAATGAGAATATTAGAGTAAAACAAAATGTGCTAGTAAGACGTTCAAAAAACGATCGTATTAAAAATATAAATTACGAAAACGTAATAAAAAGGGCCTAGACGGTATTGTAACTAAAGTAAGTTACTCAGTTAGAAATCTTGCCGTGTTTACATAAAAAACGATCGAAAATATACGAAAAATATCGAGGCTATCGCGGATCTCAAATCCGTGCTAGTGGCAGCAACGGGCGGAGCTAAGACGCGAATACAGTACGTGAATCTGATTGGTCGATACAAACTCATAGATTATCCTGTCATCCAGGCGAGTGGATGGCGTAGTCGGTTCAGATTGTGCTAGTTGGACGTTCGTTTAACGGCTGTTTATATCTCTACATCATAAGGCGAACTAATTTAAATGATAGTATTGTGATTGGGCGTCGCTTGATACTAACCCCCAGCACACTAAAACAATAAAGTTTGTTTTGATACATTTGCGACGCACCCAGACTTCAGCTCGCCGCTCCACTTTTCAGCGTGATCATACACGCGATTTTCAGTAGTTTTAATAACGGATGATTCATCAAACCATGGAACTATAAACCCCAAACAAAAGCGAAAGCACCGTAAGATAAACTAAGACAAAGGTTTTTTTAATCCTCTTAGTTTCGTTGTTCTTCCTGGGGTTTATAGTTCCATGATCAAACCAATGTAGTTGTTCGACATCATAGTTGGTAACATTATCTATGAAATCGAGAGTCCACTCTTCGTTGCGTTCCGTCCGAGACTCTGTGGCAACACTGGTCAACTTCTTTCGGCTCATCCCCAAATATTTAGTAATAGCACAATGAATAGTCGACAAGCACAGGACAGTATCGATAGTACACACATTTTCGGCAATTAAATTTATTCTAATCTCCCTCAAATAAATACTTGGCTTAGTCTTCTTGTATAATTCGATGTAACACGTTTCGGACATTTCTGTGGACCGCCAGTATCATGTTCAATATCACCAGTTGAGATAATTTTTTTGCATATATTATACGTAGTAAATTTTGTCACACCAACCCATTTCGCTATGTCATCAAAATAAATTCCTTCTAAATACAGCTCAACTATCTTTTCGCGAATCGCAGTTGGAGTCGGTAATCCTTGTTTACTCCGCAACATGTTGACTGTGAATGTGACAGTCACAGTCAACAAGTAGTGGTTGGAAAGTGGAGCGGCGAGCTGAAGTCTGGGTGCGTCGCAAATGTATCAAAACAAATTTTATTGTAGCAAAACAACTTCAACAACATTGGAAGCAATTGCTGTACTTTTACCGACAATGTTGATAATAACTTGCTGTAGTCTAGCAATATTTAGTTAAACACAATCGTTCAAAGAATGACTGAAAGATAGTAAAATGTTTGCTTGGTCAAATCCGAGTTTACTTCACAACAGCAATATCTGTAAAGTGTCGTCGATGTTGTACTTCCGTTGCTATATCCTATTGTCTTAGCGCTAACTACAGTCAACTATATTATAAATTACTTGTTTATTTCCCTTTTTAAATCTGTATAGGTATTATGACAACCAAGATGACAAGAGCTGCAGCAGTGTCGATGAAACATGTTTTCATTGTACCCAGCAGGGTTACAATGTTTCTACTCCTGTTCCTACATTTGGGGTTAACAGTGAGCTGTTTCCTGATAACCTATCTCAGATAAATTCTACTTCAGGGTGAGTGTTTGATTAACTTTATACTGCACTTTTTTTTACTAAACCATTTCTTTCATACTGATACATGTACATGTGAATAATACTTGTTGAACATTTTTATTTTTTTTTTATGTAGAATACTGGCAACAACTTTTTTCACACACTCTACTATTTTATTGTTTCTGTTAGAGAAGGTACTAGTATGTCAGGGATTGAAGAGATGTCTGCAGATGAACCACCAACAAAAAGTAGTGCAACAGGAAATGAAAGGTATGTGAACATGTGTAAGATTTTTGTTTCTGTACTTATAATGTATGCTAGCATTTTATTTATGATTTAATTTTATAATGAAGACAAATGGTCATCCTTATAGAAAATTCCCAGATATATATAGAATTTATTAATATAAAAGGGGTGATAACAGCTATTGGAATAACAATGAACTACTCTGAATGGAGGCATTCTCAGACCTAATTAGCATTGTGCAAAACATCAAGAGGACCTACTTACAAAGCACAAAGATTATGAAGTTGTACTACTTGGTAAGCAGATATCTACACCCCATTTATATTTTTCTGTCTTTTGTAACTAACATTTTATCCTT